TATAAAAGGCTGGAATCACCAAAGTTGATTTTTGTCCATTCTGTACGGTGAAATCTTGATGTGCCTTCTGGCATCCTATGGCATGAAAGATGATTCCCAAATACTTCAATAATGTAACCTGTGGTAGCTCGTGCCCATTTAGTATCTGTAGTGGAGAAAAATTAAAATAACATCCCAAAATGGAGGCTGCAACCCCCTTCTCTTCCTCTCTCTCAGACATGACCAAGACCAAACCCATTCCTCAACTGGCCTAATCCTATCAAACCCAAATTAACCATTCTGGCTCCTAGACAAACCCTCCTATAATCCTATCTAAGCCAAAGAATAGAAGCCTTGCAAACTTTCTCACAGTTCAGGCAACTCTAATAAGGAAATAGCAAGGTAAGAAACTGCAAGATTTTATTCTCAATCAAGGACATGTGCCTGGTTACCTCAATGTTCCATCTCCTTAACAATGATTTCCCTGGCTTTACAGCTGCATCTGGAAGCACAGCTTTTACCCAACAGAAACGACCCATTTGCATCAACAAAGACCTGCCTAGCTTCCCGCAAACTGGCCAGCAAATCAGACTCTCAGGATTCCTGGCCTTGCAATTTCCAATGTCTATCAAAAATCCTGTCTTTCTCTTGTTCTGAGTTCCTCTTTGTTGTAAAGCTGGGACCGATGGCCATTGAATAAACAGTTGACTATTTCTCCTTAATGATGTGCTCCTTTCTTTTGAGTTTTCCACAACAATGACCATCTATGAAATATAAGGCATTTTGCAAAGACCACTATCTTGGTCTTATCATAACTGATCTCTAGAATTTCCTCCATGCAAAACTCTGCAAAAGAATCATAAGGCTCTCCTCAGGACCACCTAACTCAGTGTCAAAGCTACTATATCATTTGCATACAGAAGAGCTGAAGTGTGTTTATCTGCCAGGTTGGGGGGGGGTGGGAGGTGATATACCAATTTATCTAGAGCTGACACCGAAGGATTTATATAAAGGTTAAACAAAATTGGGGCCAAGATACAATCCTGCCTAACTCCTTTACCTGTCAAGATGTCCCTTCTTTGTTGGCCCTGGATGGACACCAATTATTGCAAAGCTCTTGGAAAAGTAAAAGCAAACATTTATTGATGGAGGATTTCTTCAATCTGTGACATAACCTATTCCTGGGAACTGAGTCAAAGGTGGACTTAAAATCTACAAAGGCATAATATAATGCTGGTCTAGAGCTAGTTGTGTATTTTTCAATCAGAATTGTAATATTAAGGTTTGGTCTATATGAGAGCATCCTTTCTTAAAATTAGCCTGCTCTTCTGCCAAAACAGGTTCTTTCTCAATCCAGACCATTAACTTCTCTCTTAAATGAATTATGTTCATTTTACTAATTATATTCAATAAGCTAATAGGTCAGTAAGGAGACAGAACATTCCTTTTGCCTTCCTTATAAATCGGAATTATTATCCCCAGGCTAAATTCCAGTGAAAATCTTGCATTACCACTGATGTATGTAAAAAGGAAAGTTTATACCAGGGTCCATCAATCTAAATTGCTATGAATAATTTCTATAATAATCACCTGGGGCTTTTCCCATTTTAATCCATTTGGCCAGCAAAACTATTTCTGTGCAAGTTACTGGTGCCCAGTGAGGGACAGAGTCATCATCTATTTTGATACAATTGGATTTGGGGCCAACTCATCCTGGATATATAAGTAGTCCCAAGTTTAAGAACGAGTTCTGTTCCCAAGATCTGTCCTTAAGTCAAATTTGTATGTAATTGTATAAGTAGTATTGTGTAATTAACTTGAACCATTGTGTATTTAACTCAAATCATTGTGTATTTAACTCAAATTTTGCTACAATAGGCTCCGTTCTTAACTATGGGTCATCCGTTAACCAGGTGTTCTTAACCCAGGGACTCCCTGTACTATATATTGTGCAAAAAATTTGTTCCCATCCCCCAGCTGGAATATAACAAGAAGCTCTAGGAGGGGATTTACCTAGCCATGGACTTATAATTCTCCAAAACAGAGTCAAATTATTGGATCCAGCTGCATCTATAAGACATTGCAAGGCATCTCTGCTTGCCTCACTCTTTTTTCACGGTAGTAAACTCTTATACTGCTTTTTCCGCTGTAAAAGCCCTTGGGTATTAATCTGATCCGGTCTTTATTTAAATAGGGGAAAGGATTATATCAAGGCCCTTTTTGCTGTAGAGCAGTCTGCATCAAAACATGATTTAGAATTATCAAACATATTCCTACATTTATGGGAATTTACCTTGCTTAACACCAGTTTTAGCAGCAGCTGTAGTTTACTGTAATTTTCTAAAATGGATCCATCCATACCTTGCTTCCTAATGGCAGAACAAGCCTGTGCTGCCTCTTCAGAAACTAATATGCTTTTCACCAGGTGATCCTGTCACAATGACCATTTAACTTGAATTGGGCCTACCTGATATTCCATATTCTAATAAAAGCGAATACACGTAGCTCAGGGTTGAACTGTGCAGTCCTTGGGGTTCTCTGAGCTTGATTATTTTCTTGCAAATGTTTTGTTACCCAGCTAGGTAACATTTTCAGTGCAAGAAGGGGTTTGCTCTCTGTTTATATATAGTAGTTTGCCCTGTCAGTGTTGATGGGGGTGTGGTTTTCTCTTTGGTAGTTCTTTAATTAGGCTGTTGTTTACTGGTTAATTGTCTGTCTGAATTGGTAGTTCCTTGATTAGGGTATTGTTTACTATTTGATTGTTTGCCCGGTGTTAAACCTGGTGTAAATCTCTGCTTATCTGGGTGTTGATTGCTAGGGAGGAGATGTTCTGGTCTTTTGTTTCCTTTTTATTGTCTTTTTTGAATAGTGTGTAGATGTCATTTAGCTCTATGTGCCTGTTGATGGCTGCCTGTCTGTCCTACATAGTGGTTGTTACAGTCCTTACACTGTATGATGTAGATGACTCCTGCTTTTTATTCTTAAGCTATTGGGTCTTTTGGTTTACTTAAGATGTTTTGGAGGGCTTTAGTTGGTTTGTGTGCTACAGAGATGTCATGTGGTTGTAGTAGTCTGTTGGTTGTTTCTGAGACGTTTCTGATGTATGGCAGTGTTATGCTTTTCATAGCTTGTGTTGGTTGTGTTGTAGTAGGTTGAGCAGTCAGGCACTTTTTGATAAAGTTGCATGGATATCCATTTTGTTGGAAGATGTTGTATAGGTGGTCTCTTTCCTTTTTCTGCTGTTCTGAGTTGCTG